ACCCTATAAGGGCTACCCAACTACAGCCTACAACAAGATATGCAATGTAATTTGACACACCCCATAGGCAAAGTGGGGGATAGCAAGCATAACAAGCGGTCACAAGACCAGTCAATAGAAGAACAAAGCTCAAGGTGGATCTCAAGAACACCACACATTCCGAGCACAAGCAAGCGGCCACAAGGCCTGTTCACGTGCAGTTTTATAATAGAGCAAGCATTACAATGATTACAACATGCCGTACCCTCTCAGCATCCGGACTCGCTACGTTGCGCCCGGGAGATACCACCCTGCGCATTGGCGGGCTGCTAGGAGGGTGCTGCACTACTTAGTCAGACTCGCGAGTGCGGAGATAACTGCTGCAACGGGAGCTAGACTACGGGCTAGGCATGGGTGCTCGTGTGATCTCTGCGTTCATTCGTTCCTTAGTCGTTTACTCGTGCTTGCACTACTTGCTGGTTCACGGGGGAATTTGCTGGTTCATGGTTCAGTGTAGCGACGAAGTGGAGGTTCATGTGAATTACATTTCCACGCTGGGTTCCTGAACAATGAAGCTCCGCGCCTTACAGCCGCCATGGATTTCTCCGTCTTCGAGCCGCACAATGTCCCCGTTAGAGTGCACTGATGCTACTTCTTTTTTTATCATTCGGTTCGTCCGTAACAGTACTTTCGGGAGACCTGTCATTTATGCTGACATTGGCTCACCGTGTTACAAGGCAACCTACAATGGAGTTCATCAGGCAGTCCCAAGGTTACAGTGCTCGGACTTTTTCCAAAGGCGTCGTATGAAAGAAGGCTTCCTAACTATTCTATTATCAAGACTATTGCATACAACGATCCCGAGGCTTCAACCTCGGTTTTACATCACCAACTTCAGGAACAACTGGTTCCAGAGGAGCATTGTCAACTACTTAATCAGTCCGTGCTCAGTCTTTTGGCAGATTGGTTTACCCAAGCAATCATTGGCTCTTAGCAGGGTCTGTTTCTGCCTTCTGTTCATCATCGCACGATGGCTCCTCCAAAGGGTTCCCGCTCCAAGGTTGTTATTGATCCTCCTGCTGATCCTGCTGCTGTTGTCAACGACCTGCCTGACAAGGGATTGGAGACGGGAGAAGGAGTTAACATTGTCAATGGCCAGTTGCCGCCTTCTCCTGACAATGTGTCTGCCGGTGGATCTGGTCTATCAGCGGCGGAGAAAGCTACGGTGCAGGCTCATGGTGCAGTTGAAGAGATTCTGTTGGACGACGACTCTGATGATGAGATGGAAGTGGATCTGGACAAGGAAGCGGGGATGCAGTTCCGGACTACTACTATCTTACTACTTCCTTTTATTCTCGCTCAGGAAGTTGCATGTGTCATTGATACAGTCAAGATGTTGATGAAACGTGGCTGGAATGCAGAACTTTCAGCCGGTGCTTTGCTGACGACGAAGTTTCAGGAGTTGCAGACGGCTTATATCGCCAAAGTCCGCTACTGTCGTCTGCAACTCTCGTTCCTTCTGGAGCGTGATGCGGAAATCTGCACATCAAAAGAAGTGGTGTATCAGCGTTTGAACGGCAAGTTGCTGAAGCTTCACTGGCAACATACTGACAACGTTTCTTTCGTCCGGGAACGCTCACTTAACCCCTTGGCACTGGAGGTGGTTTTCCGCGGTGTCTCAGCCACGGTCGAACTCGGCATGCTAACTGACCGGCTGGTGACTTACAGGCTGCAGAAGAGCCAGCGTCCAGCGTTTCTCCGTTGCTCCTGCTTTCATCGCGTACTCCACCCTGTGACTTGCGCAGACACTGATGTTGTTAAGGGCCTCGTGTACCCGCATCCTGGGGACAGTGGTCGTTGGATTCATGCGGTGCTGGACCCTGCCGATCGCTCAAAGAAGCTGCTGATCCATTATCCGTCACTATCCTGCACACTCTGCGGAGGGCATCATTATGATAAGTATCATAATGTGTTCATGGTAGAGCGTCAGAATAATGTCGGAAAATGGAATCTGTCGCTAGGGAAAGCGCACAGACTCAACGGTAAAACCGCTTCAGTCTTACCTCTGCCTGGTCGTGCCTTTCATGTTCTAACCCACACTGACGACCTCTCTGATCCCTGCAGCCTCGTCCCTGAAAGCCTCCACGCTCCTTCTCCCCATTCTTCGCGATCCTGCAATAGCTCTCATCTCAACGGGAAGCAACAGGGAGGAGTGGCTATGCACACAAGCCGGTTGCAAAAAAGCACATGGGAAGTGCTTCATGTCGGCGGCAGATCATGCTGCCTCCGCTGCTCATCTTATCTGCCAGGAGAAGCTCGGAGCTGCAACCAAAAGCTCGCTCGACAAGACGAACCTTGCCGTCATCAAGAAGGAGTTCGGGATCTGATAAGGGGACTTGAGGCAGTTGCGAGAGTAGGAGCAGTAGTCAGTGTAGTCAGTTTCGTTGCCTTCATCAGCCTGTGGATGCATAGGGGCTGCCAATCAGTGGTCAAATGAATAATAAAAACTTCATCACCTGTGCGAGCCTCAACGTGAATGGACTCGGAGACAGCACGAAGCAAGATAGAGTTAGACTCTGGACTAGAGACGCAGCAGACATCATAGTACTAGCAGACACTAGACTTGATAGCACTCACCCTTTCTGGACTTCGCCTAGTTTTACGACAGTAGCTGCTGCCTCACCCACGGCGAGAGCTGGAGGGGTTGCTGTACTTAGCCGAAACCAGTCACTTCAGTTCCTCAACACCATTCCGCACCCCTCTGGACGCATTATTCAGACAAAAGTCCATGGACCCGGTCTCCAACTCACCCTTCTGGCAGTTTACTTTCCCGCCGACCTTGGCTCAAGAACCGCTTTCATCATGAACACCTTAGGACCCTTAGTCGATCAGACACACCCTAGTAATCATCTACTGATCATAGGCGACATCAACATGGTCGAAAACCCGCTCTTGGATAGGACATCTGAATCAGGCACAGCCATGGAAAATGACCGCTTTTTCCGCCGCTGCGCCGCTTTCCAGCTCTCCGACGCTTACCACACGCTTCATCCGCGCAACCGAGAATACACCTTTGTCAGAATGTTATATTCTCTAGCCTGTAGTGGGGTGCTCTATAGCGAGTACAACCCTGTTAGGGTTTGCTATATGTATCCTTGCTGCTGCTAGTGAACATCCTCCTTTGCTCATTTCTCTCTTGCCTAGCTAGGGTTCTCCTAGCTATGGCTCCTCACTATCGCTACCATCTCAACATGGTTTCAGAGCGTTCACGCTCCTGGCCTGTGGTCCCACCTAACTGCTTCCGCTGCTACTCTGTCTGTTGCACGCACCGTGGCGTGCGACGCCTTCTTCCTCCGCGAAAATTTTTCTGGGATTTCAGCCCGCCGTGCGCCCCGAGGCGCGCGGCGGTTTTCTGCCCGCCGTGCGCCCCGAGGCGCGCGGCGGTTCTCTGCCCGCCGTGCGCCCCGAGGCGCGCGGCGGGTTTCTGCCCCGTCACTCGGCGCGTCGCCCCCGGGAGGCGCTGCGACGGGCGACGGGGACCCGCGCGTCGCCCGTCGTGGCCTGCGCGCGGCCCGTACAGCCGGCGCGCGGCCCGTACGGGCTGCGCCAGGCCTGCGCGCGGCCCGTACGGGCTGCGCCAGGCCCGCGCGCGGCCCGTACGGGCTGCGCCAGGCCCGCGCGCGGCCCGTACGGGCTGCGCCAGGCCCGCGCGCGGCCCGTACGGGCTGCGCCAGGCCCGCGCGCGGCCCGTACGGGACGCGCCAGGCCCGCGCGCGGCTTGGGTCGCCTGCGCGCGGTTCGGGCGGCTGTGCCAGGCCCGTGGGCGGCCCGTTCCTCGCTGCCCCTGCCCTCCCCACCGTCCCCCGTGCTTCTACTGGCGCCCCACCCCTCCTATGGCCCGTTCTCCTGGATTAGGGTTTGGGAGTGAGGGGTATGGGGGTGAAGCCACTGAGTGCCGTTCCCCGCTCCTCCTCCTCCTCCGTCTCCCTGTGCTGCAGCTGCCGCTGAGGGGGGGTGGACCTGTTGGAGCCGTCGGAGTGGTACTAAGGGGGGGGTGAAGGGGGAGTGGAGCTAGGGTGAAGCAGTGGGTCTGTGGGGGGTGTGTGGGACAGTTTGGGGAGGTTGAGCCGAGGCTACCGTCTTGTCGTCCGCAGCACCTGTAGTCCGGGGCGCTGTCCTGGTAGCCCAGAGAGCCCCCTAGGGCGCTGTCCTAGGGAGGTAGCTGCTGCGCCTGTCGCCCGTGGGTCCGTTGCTCGTCTGCCGCTACCTTTAGCCGCGGGGCCAGTTACCCCAGTAGTCCGGAGTGTCAGAATATTATCTTATTGTTCTAGCCTGTAGTGGGGTGCTCTATAGCGAGTACAACCCTTCTAGGGTTTGCTATTTGTATCCTCATTCTTGCTAGTTCAATCCTCTTTCTTCTTCTAACTTTTGTCACGGAGCGCTGTTCCGGTAGCCACTGTGCCAGCAGCTTCTGTTGCCCGTGTGTTTGCAACTTCAGTCGTCGCCTCTCGTCTTCTCTCCCCTACAGTCTCTCCTCCTCCTCACTTGCTCGCTGTGTTAGCCTCTAGCTTTGCTTATATTTCTGAACTACTTCTATGCTTGCTTGCTGTGCTGATTACACCCCATTTTGGCTAGGGGGGTGTGTCAGAATGTTATATTCTCTAGCCTGTAGTGGGGTGCTCTATAGCGAGTACAACCCTGTTAGGGTTTGCTATATGTATCCTTGCTGCTGCTAGTGAACATCCTCCTTTGCTCATTTCTCTCTTGCCTAGCTAGGGTTCTCCTAGCTATGGCTCCTCACTATCACTACTATCTCAACAACCTTCTACTCACATTCTCACCGCGAGAGCTCCAGGATTGACCGCGCTCTAGTTTCACTCTCGCTTTTACCTTTCCTTGAATTCGCCTCTCATGTCACCCCGCTGGACAAGATTTCTGACCATGCCTTTGCAGTGAAGGTTGCTTTCAAGGTCGATGCAGGCTCCAGAATGGGACCAGGCATTTGGAGGCTTCATGCGTCGATGCTGAAACGACCTGGTGTCAGGAAGATTGTGGAGGACACGGTCTCAAAAATCACAGTGTCAGATGGGAGCAGCTTCGAGCTGCTGATTCAACGGCTGAACGCAGGACTTCGGGCTTACACCAAGGAGGAGCGTAAGAGGGTCTGTGCTACGTGTGCTAACCTTGCTGAAGCAGTCGCAACCCTGAGGCAGGAGGTGTTGGGTAACCCACGGTGCGATGTCAGAAGGCAGCGCTTGAATGAAAAAGAGGCGCAGCTCAAGGAGTATTTGGCGCGCAGGCAAGACAGGCTTCTCCTGCTGGCCGGACTGGACAGGGAACTCACAAGCGAGATTTCCTCGAAGCAGCTGTCGTCAATGGTGAAGGTGCGGAAAGGCCGCACTCAAATTTCGGAGCTTCAAGTCGGCGGTGCAGAGGTGAAAGACTCGAAGCAGATTCTGTCGGCCGCTTCGGGTTTCTTTAAGAACATTTTTGGTGCGGATCGCCGTAAGTGCTTCAGGGAGTAGAAGCCTCTCCCGGGGAAGAAGCTGAGTCCCTGGAACACGGGTGAGTTGGAAGCGGAATGGACGGAGGCAGAGGTGAAAGCAGCTTTTTCCGCAATGGCGGACAATAAATCTCCAGGGTTGGACGGTTTACCGAAAGAACTCTTTGAGATGCACGGGGACCTGCTGGGTGGGAGTTTTATGGCGTTGGTGAAGGACTTCACCACCTCTGCGACTCTTCCGACGGACATAAAAGCTGCGGTGACCATACTTCTGCACAAGAAAGGGGAGAAGGACCAGTTAAACAACTACCGCCCTATAACGCTGCTAAACTTCACCTACAAAGTGTTAGCAAGAGTGGTGGCAGACCGAATCAAGACGGTGTTGCATCGCGTGATCTCACCTGAGCAGTACGGTTTCCTCCCGGGGAGAAGGGCTTCAGATGCTGTGGCACTGGTTGCGGACATCATCGATGCGGCAAAGAACGGGAGCGAGGACTGGTTTTTACTGCTAGTTTACTTTCAGAAGGCGTTTGACTCCGTCTCCCACGGCTTTGTCTTCGAAGTCATGAGGAAAATGGGTTTCCCGCCGCGGCTTGTGTCCTGGATTGAGGGCCTGCATACAAACACCACGACAAGGTTGCTCATCAACGGTTGGCTGGGAGAAGGAATAGATGTTGCGTCCGGGGTGAGACAAGGCTGCCCGTTGGCCCCTTACATTTTCCTCTGCGCCGTTGAACCGTTGGCGCAGGAGGTGGAGAGGAAGAAGCTGGGAATCTGCAAAGCAGGGATGCGGCTGGGCTATCTGGGATACGCGGATGACACCACGCTCCCCCTGCAAGGCGAGCAGCAAATTAAAAAAGCAGAGAAGCTGCTAGACAAGTTCGAGAAGATGTCCGGTCTAGCCACCAACAAGGAGAAGTCGGTGGTGTTGCCGCTCGGCGCGAATCGGGGCAGACCGTCGAGGGGAGCCTTCAAGTGGGCGAAGCCGGGCGATGCGGAGCGGTTGCTGGGGGTTTGGGTAACCCCAGACGGTGATGGGCAGCAGACTTGGGACCTGGCGCTGGGAGACATCACAAAGAAGCTGGTTAGCTGGAGGAAAAAATATCCCACCGTCAAGGCAAGAACGGCAATGGTGAATAACTACATCCAACTGAAAGTGGCATCCCAAGCTCAGGTGTACCCTGTCAGAACATATATGTAGCTTATGCTGTTGTGTAGGCTACAGTGGGGTATCCCATAGGGGGTACAACCCAATTAGGGTTTTGCTATTTGTACCCAACTCTTTCATAGTGCATTCATTCTCGTTCTATTTTCCACATGGTATCGAGCAGGTTCCCCCGTGGGAACTGTGCTTAGGGCCCACCACTTTTAAACTTTTTTTCTGCCCGGAGCGCGCTCCGGGCCCGCGCTCTCACTCTTTCGACCTTCCCTGCGGCCCCCTAGCCGCCCGCGCGCGCCCGTTCAGGCCCCTAGCCGCCCGCGCGCCGCCCGTCCCGGCCCTTAGCCGCCCACGCGCCGCCCGTCCCGGCCCCTAGCCGCTCGCGCGCCGCCCGTTCAGGCCCCTAGCCGCCCGCGCGCCGCCCGTCCCGGCCCCTAGCCGCTCGCGCGCCGCCCGTTCAGGCCCCTAGCCGCCCGCGCGCCGCCCGTCCCGGCCCCTAGCCGCTCGCGCGCCGCCTGTTCAGGCCCCTAGCCGCCCGCGCGCCGCCCGTCCCGGCCCCTAGCCGCTCGCGCGCCGCCCGTTCAGGCCCCTAGCCGCCCGCGCGCCGCCCGTCCCGGCCCCTAGCCGCTCGCGCGCCGCCCGTTCAGGCCCCTAGCCGCCCGCGCGCCGCCCGTCCCGGCCCCTAGCCGCTCGCGCGCCGCCTGTTCAGGCCCCTAGCCGCCCGCGCGCCGCCCGTCCCGGCCCCTAGCCGCTCGCGCGCCGCCCGTTCAGGCCCCTAGCCGCCCGCGCGCCGCCCGTCCCGGCCCCTAGCCGCTCGCGCGCCGCTCGTTCAGGCCCCTAGCCGCCCGCGCGCTGCCCGTCCCGGCCCCTAGCCACCCGCCCGCGCCCGTCCCGGCCCCTAGCCACCCGCGCGCACCCGTCCCGGCCCCTAGCCACCCGCGCGCGCCCGTCCCGGCCCCTCACCGCCCGCGCGCCGCCCGACCCGGCCCCAGGCCGCCCTGTGCCGCCCGCCCCGGCCGCGCTCTCCTGTCTCGGCCCCTCGGCGCCAGGACGCCACCCGTCCTGGCACCTCACCCGTCCCGGCACCACGCCGCCCGTTAGCCGCCGTGCAGCCTGAGCCGCCCGAGGCGTCTGCGCAGCTGAGGAGCCGAGCCGCCCGAGCCGCCTGTGCCGCTGACAGCCTGAGCCGCCCGAGCCGCCCGAGCCGCCTCCCCCCCCCCCCCCCCCCCCTTTTCCTGTCGCCTGTCGAGGCGACCTGAGAGGCCAGCTGAGGGGTGGCAGGTGTGTGGTCTCCCATGCTTCTCCTCCTCCTTCGTCTCGTGCCTCCCAGCAGCCGCGCCGCCCTGCAGCCGAGCCGCTCTACACCCGAGCCTCCCAGCAGCCGCGCCGCCGGGTCGCCGAGCTGCCGAGCTGCAGTTGCTGCCGAGCCGCCCTGCCGCCGAGCCGCCCGAGTCGCCCGAGCCGCAGAGCCGCCGTGCTGCCGAGCCGCTGAGTCGCCGAGCCTACTCTACCCACCACTGGTGAGCCCCTGCCCTGCTAGCACGCTGTGCGTCGCCTGCTTGCCTGCCTGCCTCCCTTTTTGGCTTGCCTGGCTGCCTGCCTTACTGCTGCTACTCCTGCTCCTGCCTCTACTGGTGGAGCCAGATGCAGCCCCATCGACGTCTGCGTGAGTCCCTCACGCCCCAGCAGCTGCGTGAGTGGTACGCTGGTTGGGGCTGTAGGGGTGGTGGCGCTACTACTGCTACCACTCCTGCTACTTCTACTACTGGTGGCGGCCAGATGCAGCTCCTGCGACCCCCCCGCGCGTCTCTCACGCCTCAGCAGCTTCGTGAGTGGTACGCTCAGAGTGGAGGGTCTCTCAGTTCTGTTCGCTGCTCTTACATGATTCTCACTGGTGCTCGGACTGGTCAGCCTTGTGGGACACCTAGTCATACACAGTCCCGCTGCTTCGCCCGTGTGAGCGACGCCTGGCGTACCGTGTTTGGCGACGAGGCTGAGCTCCCCGACTGGGTGGAGTTGCTTAGGCAGAGGGTAGATATATTTGCTCTTGACTATGATGCTATTCTCACTGCCATGTATGCATTGCCTACTAGTGCTGACCGTGCCGGTCACCTGTGCGTCCCGCCTGACCCGGGTATAGGACCTGCTGCTCTAGCTACTGGTGAGGCTGCTGCTGCTCTGGGTGCTAGTGAGTCTCCTGCTCCAGGTACAGGTGCGGCTGCTGCTCTAGGTGCTAGTGAGTCTGCTTCCTCAGGTGCGGGTGAGGCTGCGCTCTCTGGTACCGCGTTGGCTTCGGCCTCCCTCACCTTTACACTTGACTCTGGGGCTTCTCGCTCCTTCTTTCGGGACCGCACCACACTCACGCCGCTTGGTCGGCCGGTTGCAGTCTCCCTGGCTGACCCCTCTGGGGGTCGTATCCTCGCTCACTTCTCCACTGTCCTCCCGTGTCCGGCTACCCCCTCGGGCACCCTGTCTGGCCTGTACCTCCCCTCGTTCTCGACGAACTTGGTGAGTGGTGCAGACCTGCAGGATGCGGGGGTTCACCAGTTCACTCCTGCGAGTCAGCGGGTGACCCACTGCACGGACGCACGCACAGGCCGGCACCTGGCCACGTTCTCGCGTCGGCCGGGGTCGAGCCTCTACACCCTGACCACTGAGTCTCCTCCTGTCCCTGCGTCCGGTCAGGTAGCAGCGTCAGGTCAGGTGTTTGCTGCTACGTCCAGGTCTGGTCCTGAGTCTGCCCCCTGTTCGTGTCGCCTCCTGTCTCACGAGACTCTCCTGTGGCACCACCGTCTTGGCCACCCCTCCTTGCCCCGCCTTCGGGGCATGGCTTCCCGTGTCCTTGTCTCTGGTCTTCCCCAGTCTCTCCCTCCCCTTCCTTCGGGACCAGGACCTTCCTGTGTCCCCTGTGTCGAGGGGCGCCTCAGGGCTGCTCCTCACTCCTCCCAGTTTCCCCCGACAGAGGCTCCTCTGCAGACACTTCACATGGACGTGTGGGGCCCGGCCCCCGTCCGTGGGCAGGGTCAAGAGCGCTACTTCCTGTTGGTGGTTGACGACTACTCGCGTTACACCACAGTCTTCCCCTTGCGCAGCAAGGGTGCGGTCACTGAGGTGCTGATCGACTGGATCCGCGAGGCTCGTCTCCAGCTCAGGAGGAGCTTCGGCTCGGACTTTCCTGTTCTGCGTCTGCACTCTGACCGAGGTGGGGAGTTCTCCTCTCGCCTTCTGCGAGACTACTGTCGTGCACAGGGGATCCGCCAGACCTTTACGCTTCCGGACTCTCCACAGCAAAATGGGATTGCTGAGCGCCGCATTGGCATGGTCATGGATGTCGCTCGTACGTCCATGATGCATGCGGCTGCCCCCCATTTTCTGTGGCCGTTTGCGGTTCGGTACGCGGCGCATCAGCTCAACCTTCACCCCAGGGTCTCTCGGCCCGCGATGTCCCCAGTGTTACTGTGGACGGGGAAGGTCGGCGATGCGTCTGCGTTCCGTGTCTGGGGATCTCGGGCGTTTGTCCGCGACTTGTCTGCGGACAAGCTGTCCCCCCGTGCTGCTCCCTGTGTCTTCCTTGGCTTCCCCCCTGACGCTCCAGGGTGGCAGTTCTACCACCCCTCCTCTCGTCGTGTTCTGTCCTCCCAGGACGTCACGTTCGACGAGTCAGTCCCCTTCTACCGCCTCTTCGCCTACCGTACTCCTTCCCTCCCCCCCCCACCCGACTTCCTGGTGCCAATTCCCCCCCCGGTAGACCCCCTCCCCCCTCAGGTTCCTGCCCCTTCAGGTGTGTCCCAGGTAGACACAGTCGAGCCAGTCGAGGTTGCTGCTGAGTCTGGTCCTGTTGCGGGTGCAGAGTCTGGGGGTGCTACGCCTGCGGGTGCTGAGCTTGGGGATGCTGCTGCTGGGGGTGCTGAGCCTGGGGGTGCGAGGCCGGGGGGTGCTGAGCTTGGGGGTGCTGCTGCTGGGGGTACTGAGCCGGGGGGTGCTACGTCAGGAGCTGCTAAGCCTGGGGGTGCTGAGCCTGGAGGTGCGGAGCCTGCGACTGCTGGACCTGGGGGCTCTCCGGTTGCTCCGTCTCGGCGGGAGCCGCTCTCTCCACAGGAGCTGCGCGAGTGGTTTGCTCGCCGCTGGAGGCGTGCTGCTGGAGCTGTAGCTCCTTCGACTGCTGAGGGTGCTGGTGCTGCCGGTCCCGGAGCTGCTGGGCCTGCGGGTCCTACTGGAGCTGGAGGTGCTGAGCCTAGGGGTGCTGAGTCTGGACTGCTGAGCCTGGGGATGCTGAGTCTGGAGCTGCTGAGCCTGGGGGTGCTACGTCTGGAGCTGCTGAGCCTGGGGGTGCTACGTCTGGAGCCGCTGAGCCTGGGGTTTCTCCTGGTGCTGCGTCTCGGCGTGAGCGCCCCTCTCTCCACAGGAGCTGCGCGAGTGGTTTGCTCGCCGCTGGAGGCGTACTGCTGGAGCTGGAGCTTCTCCGACCGTCGAGGGTGCTGGTGCCGCCGGTCCCGGAGGTGCTACGCCTGCGGGTCCTACTGGAACTGGGGCTGCTGAGGGCGGTGGTGCTGAGTCTGCTGCTGTCTGTCCTGACGGTGGTTCTGCTGCTGGTGCTGCTGGAGGTACTGCCGCTGGAGGTGTTGGTGGCGCTGGTGCTGCCGCTGAGGGTGCTGGTGCTGTCCCTGCTGAGTCTGGAGCTGCCGCGCGGCCTCGGCCGTACTTCGTTCCGCTTCTGCAGCAGGTTCTTGGTCTTTCTCCTCCGGTAGAGTGTCCACAGCCTGTCCAGTCGCAGTCACTGTTGGAGCCTACCTCCCCACTGCCTGCTCCCTCTCCTTACACTGGTCCTACTGGAGGTCTTACTGAGCGTCGTGAGCCTGCGTCTCGTCCCGCGTCGCCTGTTCGTGCTGCCCGCGCTAGTGGTCGTGGTTCGCGTCCGCGTCCTCCTCCTGTCCCTGGCATGCACCGGATGTCTCTGCGTCCGTCCACTGCTCCTCTGCGTGCCCTTTTGCCTTCTCCTCCTGAGTCCTCCCTTCTTGTGCTTACCGACCCAGAGTCGGACT